AGAAAGGTTTTGTGAATTTAAGATTTGACATTAAAGTATTATTTCTCTGTTCTTTTACTTACATGTTAAACTACTAGCTGGTAAGTACACATTTTATTATCAATAAAATTTGAAATTAAATGTTATTTTATTCATTCATATACATATTACCAGGGAGTAAGTATTTATAAAACGAAGTACACATTTTACTCTCAATAGAATTTGACATTAAAATATTATTTCTCTGTTCTTTCACTTATGTGTTAAACTAACAGTTGGTAAGTATTTATAAAATGATGTACATATTTTATTATCAATAGAATTTGACATTAAATGTTACTTTATTCATTCATACAAATATTATCAGGGTGTAAGTATTTATAAAACGAAGAGTACATATTTTATTATCAATAGAATTTAACATTAAAATATTATTTCTCTGTTCTCTACCAGTTGATAAGTATTTATAAAAGGATGTATATATTGTATTTTCAATAGAATTTGACATTAAAATATTATTTCTGTATTTTCATTGACGTGTTAAAAACTACCAGTTAGTAAGTATTTACAAAACGATGTTTACATTTTACTATCGATAGAATTCGACATTAAAATATTATTTCTCTGTTCTTTTACCAGTTGGTAAGTATTTATAAAATGATGTATACATTTTATTATCAATAGAATTTGACATTAAAATATTATTTCTCTATTATTTCACTCATGTGTTAAACTATCAGTTGGTAAGTATATATAAAACAATGTATATATTTTATTATCAATAGAATTCGACATTAAAATATTATTTCTTTGTTCTTTCATTCATGTGTTAAATTGCCAGCTGGTAAGTATTTATAAAACAAAGTACACATTTTATTATCAATAGAATTTGACATTAAATATTACTTTATTCATTCATACACATATTATTAGGGAGTAAGTATTTATTAAACGAAGTACACATTTTATTATCAATAGAATTTGTCATTAAAATATTATTTCTCTGTTCTTTCATTCACGTGTTAAACTACAGCTTGTAAGTATTTATTAAACAAAGTACACATTTTATTATCAATAGAATTTGATATTAAGAAATTATTTCTCTATTATTTCACCCATGTGTTAAACTACCAGTTGGTAAGCATTTATAAACTGAAGTACACGTTTTATTATCAATAGAATTTGACATTAAATGGTACTTTATTCATTCATATACATATTACTAGGAAGTAAGTATTTATAAAACGAAGTACACATTTTATTATTAATAGAATTTGAAATTAAAATATTATTTCTCTATTATTTCACTTTGTGTTAAACTACCAGGGAGTAAGTATTTATTATCAATAGAATTTGAAATTAAAATATTATTTTTGTTATTTCACTCACATGTTAAACTACCAGTTGGTAAGTATTTATAAAACAAAGTACACATTTTATTATTAATAGAATTTGAAATTTAATGTTACTTTATTCATTTATACACATATTACAGGGTGTAAGTATTTATAAAATGAAGTACACATTGTATTATCAATGGAATTTGACATTAAGATATTATTTTTCTGTTCATTCACTTATGTGTTAAACTACCAGTTTGTAAGTATTTATAAAACGAAGTACAAATTTTATTATCAATAGAATTTGATATTAAAATATTACTCTATTCTTTCACTCACGTGTTAAACTACCAGCAAGTAAGTATCTATAAAATGAAGTACACATTTTACTATTGATAGGATTCAACATTAAAATATTGTTTCTCTATTCTTTCACTTACATGTTAAACTACTAGTTGATAAGTTTTTATAAAACAATGTACACATTGCAATAAGTGAATCTGTGCCCGGTTATGCAATTTGACGATTGTTAAATGATTTTCTAAGTATGATGTTCACAAATGATTTGATATTGTGTAACAGTATTGCATAAATATATAACTTATATATCAAATTAGTTTTCGCTTTATTTTTGGCTTCAAATAAAATAAAATGAACTTAAACATCGTAGGTATTACAATCAACCAAGATAACAATGACTCTATTATAACTTATTATATAGTTCAATTTAAATTAAATTTTTATTCAGAATGAAAAAAGAAATTAAAAGCTAAAAAAAATGCTATTTTTGTATAATTAGAATTAAAGAAATAGCAATATATCAACTCTGATACATACGTGCGTACATACTGTATACCAGATTGCATTATAAGTTTAAAAACTAAGGTATAATTCTTTTTTGGTGGTCATAATTCAAACCAGGTCTGGTTAATAAATGCATTAATTATTACAGTGATTTCTAAATCGTGATATTATTTAATTACACTACAGAAACTGTCATTTTTTTCATCTATTGCATACTATGACATTTTTATGTGGTTCATTCCTAAATAGTGTAAGCCTTGTAGCATAAGTTTGTACTTATTTTAGTGGATCCTTTTTAAATAATTCAAAGTATGAACTTGCATCTGATCGATAGAATAGGTTCAAATATTTGTTATATACTTTTATTTTTATAAATTCAAAGTTTGACAATATATAGTTTAACTTTTGTGCAGTTATCAGTAAATGTGCGATAAGATCATTCGTTCTTGTAATCCCATACTGTTACAAAACTTAAAGACTACTGAGTCAGTGACCTTTAACCGCTATCAAAGCAAAAAAAAAAAAGATAAATTAATATACATTTTATATTACAGTTAATTGTCCATATACATACCTATAATAAATTACTAGATTGGCTCTTTTTTTTTATTATATAGTGGAATTTATTTCAATAATCTAATTAAAAAATTACTTTTAAAACTTTTTTTCTAAGACTAATTTTGTGCAATCCAAATTTCTTGCAAAAAATTAATAGTATTAAAGGCTTTGATGAAGCGTAAATTCTGATTTCACTTTATTAATTCAGCTCAGTAATTTATTATAGACGCATGTATACTAAATTGAAAGTTCTTATTGAATGAATTTCTTAATTTTCGATTGAGCAGCCTCTTTCGGTCAGAACATAAATTATGCTTTTCAAATAATTTCTCCAAACGTAAGCTTTAGTTATTCACATATATAGCACTTCAATATAGATAATATTCTTAAAAGCCTACTTACTTTTTATATTGAATATAGATTTTAACTTTTAATTTAAATGTTCTAGTCTGTAAATAACTATGTAAGCAAGGTATTTCATTCCCTATACAAATACCTAGAGCAATCAAGCTCTATAAAAATGAAAAAAGTTTTTTTTTAATTGCTTAAGCTAACATCAAAATTATCTTATTACTAACCAAAAAAAGAATAAATTCTACAATAGTCAATATTGAAAACAGTTAAATATATTAGCTGAGCACCATGTAATGATAAATAAATAAAATAAGTGATGCTTAAAATAATAAATCAACACGAATTTTCACTCGGAATCAAACTCCTAAAAATACAGTAATACATCATTACTCAAATTGTAACAAATTGTAACAAATTGTAACAACGCATTAGCAAATATTTCTGAAACGATTTAACTATTACAAAAAGCCAACACAGAACCAAAATTAAAGTGTTTTACATGTCTTGTATATTCTTGACTAGCAGTATAACAACGAAGCAGAGTGCCATGAGACTTTAATGGAGATCTAGTTTAAGTTTTCAGAAATATATATTGTACTTCCTAAATTTCAAAATAAAAAGTTTGAAAAATATCAATACGTTCAATAAAAGTTTTGATTCAATTACGTAGATGGAACCTGTGAATATATAATCCAATAAGATTTTATACATACTGCTTGTGCATAAATTTATTTTCATACAAATTTAAATATTAAAATAAAACCTACCTCTTTCTATAAACTATAGGTCAATATTATTATTATCTAATTTGACTTCAAAAATTCATAACCTAGATTATTAATATTAATGCAATAACAAGATCTTGATTCTTTGTCATCATCTCAAGTATATAAAATTTAAAATTTCAATATTACACTTTGAAAATCATGATTCTACTAACTATTATGATCATTGTTCTGATAATTTCAATATTTGAACTTTTTTAAAGATGCAAATCGGCTTATCAAACTATTTTTTTGTTATAATTAATATACAAATTAGTGGAGCCATTTTGCATCTCTGATTATAGCTACCTTGGTTCTCTTGAAGCTTATGTCATTGTAAGTGCCTAAATAAACTTCGGAACATTGCGTTAAATTGCCAGTTATTTTACATTTTCATATATACTTGCGATCATTTCATAATGTCTATGTCAAACTTCCTGGACTATATTTAAGAACGATTTTTTTTTTCTAACCCTAATTTCTCTTCTGTGATGCCTTCTTGATCGTAACAATATCGCCCACTAAGTTGTTAAAAAAAATTATTATGGAATTAATCTTGAATAACATATCCTATTCTGAAGCTTTAAATATTAAAGACATAAATACTTTTGACTCTATCATAAAAAGTTCATTACCTTCAAACTACAAATATATGGTAGACTTAATTGAACAAATTTCGTCATATGAATTTCTAGGTGCTTATGAAAAACCTTTTAAAAGTGAATTTCACATAGATATTAACACATTTGAGGATGTTAAATCATGGCTTCAGCAATTTATGGATCTTCATAAAGTGACAATGTGAGAGACCCAAGGCCGTACCATCAAGGGTATTCATTATCTTCTTTCGAAACGGCTTCACTGTATACATAGTCACAATGTGAAACTAAAACAAAGGAGAAGTGTTGATTGTAAAAACAGATTAGATAATGATATAAATTTCAGAATAGAACAAAGCAATGTTTACATCAAAAGTATACGAATAAGGAATACAAATTGTCCAGCAACAATGAAAATCCAATTACTTAAAAAAAATGATTTCTATCCATGCATTGTTTGCCTATTTTTTCATCACAACCATCCTTTGAAATCAAGCCATGTTACAAGTTTTCGCCCTGTTTCTGTTGAAACAAAAAATGCAATCTTCAAGCTTTTTGATGTTGAACATGGCCCTAATAGTGCGTATCACACTTATTGGGAACAAATGCAATTAAGATATAAAAATGATGAAGAAATGTTAGCTGACAGAGCTTTATTTCCACATAAAAATGATATTAAATACCTCTATAAAACTATTGTGACAAGCATATAGGTGCTCAAAATGGAAGTAACATGTTTAGTCATTTAGAAAAGGAAGTTATAGAGTTTAATGTTAATCGAAAAGGAAGCACGTGGATGCAAAAATATATTGCATCAAACCACAATAACCCTGAACAACCCTTTATCCTTGTCGTCGTAACGAATCTTATAAAACACTGCCATCAGCTACAAGAAGCAGGAGAATTAGTGTACATGGATACAATGGCGGGGCTTGATGTTCTTAATACCCCCTTGATGATTTTTTCTACTAGTACACCCGCTGGTGGCCTACCACTTGCAGCAATTCTTACATCCAATAAAACCGCAGCTACTTTTACAAAAGCATTAGAGATAGTAAAAAAGATGATTCCATCAGTAGCATTTGGGAGATGGGGATCTGTCATTGGGCCCCAAGTATTCATGACGGATGATTGTAGAGTGGAAAAAGTAGCACTGCAAAATACTTGGCCAAATGTGACTTTGCTTCTTTGTGTTTTTCATTTTTTGCAGGCAATGTAGAGGTGGCTTTGGGATAGTAAACATAAGATTCATAATAATGATCATGCAACCCTAATCGAACATGTCAAAAAAATGGTTTTTTCAAAAACAAAAATTGCACTTAATATAGCATATTCGGAATTAATTCATAGTAATGTTTATCAGAAGTATCCAACCTTTCAAAACTATTTCAAAATTTCATGGGAACATCATCATGAATGGGCTGTTGCATTTCGCCAACTGCTTCCTATCCGTAATAATCATACTAACAACATCACTGAGGCCGGAATTAGGATAATGAAAGAAATTATTTTTAAGAGAGTCCAAGCATATAATGTAATACAAATTTTTCAATTCATTATCAACACTATGGATCTCTATTATGTTCATAGGTTGTTGGCAGTGGCCTATAACAAATTAGACAATTTCATTGCCCTTCGCTTTCGACTTTCAAAATGGTTAATAGGAATGAAAGATAACATAGAAATCGTGGACCAAAGTTCACTGATGTACAGGCATAGGAGTAGTAGGAATTCAAATATATGGTATCTTGTGGATATGAGATTGGGAACATGCAAATATAGTCTAATGGGGGAGCCATGTATGCATCAAGCCTCTATAGCTAAACATTATAATATATGTAGGTTAAACCAAATTCCTACAATGTCTGCAGAAAAACGATATTATTATGCTTACTTAGCACTAGATGAAAAGTGCAAGCCCTTCTGTTTTTATGCTGATCTTCATCAAGAACAACTCAAAAAAGAGCATGACGATAAAGAGCAAAAAATCAGAAAAATTTTTAATAGTGATAAGTCAGATAGTTCCGATGATGAAAATATGTTCACTTTACTTGAATCTTCAAATATTGCTGATAGTAATGGCATTGATAGTGACAATAACAATATTGATGACAATGGCAATAACAATATTGATGACAATAGCAATAACGATATTGGTGACAATGGCAATAATTATATTGATGACAATGGAAATAACGATATTGATGACAATGACAATAACATGAATAATGATAAAAGTGCGATAAATAAACTTCGCTGGTTTTGCAGTGATCTAGAGAATCTCTTGAGACAAAATGATCCTGCGTTAAACAATAGTATTCATAAGTTTGTCAAATCATATAAAAGACATAGGGAAATGCAAGATACTTATGTTCATCCTGCTGTAACTTCTTTTCTTCATGCTTGTGATGGGAATATAGGTCAAACTAACAGTAAAAATTATCTCTGTTGTGGAAAAAGAATACGAGTTCAAGTTACCGCTGCTTCACAACGTAAGCAAGGTTCAACCCGAATTTTCAAAGAAATACATCAAGAGAATCAAAGTAATAATTTACAAATTAATAAAGCCGGGATACAAGAATTTGACTATTCCATTATGCTAGCAAGAAAAAGACAGCAAAAAAAACGCCCACATAATTTGAACCAAGCAATTTCAAAAAACATGCCTAATGGCCTATAATAGGCATAGAAGTAAAGCTTTGGTAGTGATTCTGGTAAAAGTAATGGTTGGATTTTCATAAAAAAAAAAGTATAAATTCTAAAAATTTGAATGTATTTTTTATTAAAATTTTTAGCAATTGAAATCATTACAACTTAGATGCCCTTATTACTAAACAAATAATTCTATATATTATTTTCTTATGCGTTTAAAAAAATTTATTTTTTATTTTTCATTCTTATATTCGTACAATTTGATCTTTATGAAAACTTTTTTGCTAACTCGAAAAAATAGACTATAAATGCATCAAAATATTATAAAAAATTTCTAGGTAATTTGTGCTTGTTGAGAACAAATGTATAGATTAATTTGTTTAGTAAAAAAAAAATTACTTTTTTGCTTGCTACATTATTTTTTCTGGGATTGTTTGTATCTTTAAAGTTTGTGAATGTTTTTTAAGAGTCTCGATTTTTATATTATATATTATGTGTTACATTACACTAATGGTATATTATGCTTATTTGCATGAGTACAAAATCCTGAAATGGTCCTATTAATAAATTTGAATTATACTTGATTAAAATTCGATAAAAGTTTTTATGTTAACTCTATAATTTCATGGAATTAAAAAAAAAAGTTCATTGAATTTAGTTTAGTAATTGCTGAGAAATTATAATTTTTCTTTCTTTGAACTTTAAACAAAGTTTCTCAACACCCAAATATCTGAATTTGATGAAACTTTTTTAATTTTAATTCTATGGAATCATAGAATTAAAATAAAAAAAATTTCATCGAATTTGAATAATTGGGTGTTAAGAAATCTTCATTTAAAATTCAAAGAGAAAAAAATTAACCCAATTTTAACTGGGCACAGATTCACTTATTGCGAGGCTTATACTATTTAGGAATGAACCACATAAAAATGTCATAGTATGCAATAGATGAAAAAAATGACAGTTTCTGTAGTATAATTAAATAATATCATGATTTAGAAAAATGCTGTAATAATTAATGCATTTATTAACCAGACCTGGTTTGAATTATGACCACCAAAAAAGAATTATACCTTAGCTTTTAAACTTATAATGCAATCTGGTATACAGTATGTATGCACATACGTATCAGAGTTGATATATTGCTATTTCTTTGATTCTAATTATACAAAAATAACATTTTTTTTAGCTTTTAATTTCTTTTTTCATTCTGAATAAAAATTTAATTTAAATTGAACTATATAATAAGTTATAATAGAGTCATTGTTATCTTGGTTGATTGTAATACCTACGATGTTTAAGTCCATTTTATTTTATTTGAAGCCAAAGATAAAGCGAAAACTAATTTGATATATGTTATATATTTATGCAATACTGTTACACAATATCAAATCATTTGTGAACATCACACTTAGAAAATCATTTGACGATCGTCAGATTGCATAACCGGGCACAGATTCACTTATTGCGTACACATTTTATTATCAATAGAATTTGACATTAAATGTTTATTATTAATACACATATTACCAGGGTGTAAGTATTTATAAAATGAAGTACACATTTTTATTATCAATAGGATTTGATATTAAAATATTATTTCTCTGTTCTTTTACTCACATGTTAAACTACCAGTTGGTAAGTATCTATAAAACAACGTATAAATTTTATTATCAATAGAATTTGACATTAAAATATTACTCTATTTAAACTACCAGGGAGTAAGTATTTATAAAACGAAGTACACATTTTACTATCGATAGGATTCGACATTAAAATATCATTTATCTGTTCTTTCACTTACGTGTTAAACTACCAGTTAGTAAGTATTTATAAAACGATGTATACATTTTATTATCAATAGAATTCAACATTAAAATATTATTTCTCTGTTCTTTCACTCACGTGTTAAATTGCCAGTTGGTAAGTATTTATAAAACGAAGTACACATTTTATTATCAATAGAATTTGACATTAAATGTTACTTTATTCATTCATACACATATTACCAGGGAGTAAGTATTTATAAACGAAGTACGCATTTTATTATCAATAGAATTTGGCATTAAAATATTATTTCTCTGTTCTTTCACTCACGTGTTAAACTACCTGTTTGTAAGTATTTACAAAACGAAGTACACATTTTATTATCAATAGAATTTCAAATTAAATGTTACTTTATTCATTCATACACATATTACCAGTGCGTAAGTATTTATAAAAGGAAGTACACATTGTATTATCAATAAAATTTGACATTAAAATATTATTTTTCTGTTTTTTTTTCACTTACGTGTTAAACTACCAGCTTGTAAGTATTTATAAAACGAAGTACACATTTTATTATTAATAGAATTTGACATTAAAATATTATTTCTCTGTTCTTTCACTTACGTGTTAAACTACCAGTTGGTAAGTATTTATTAAACGAAGTACGCATTTTATTGTCAATAGGATTCGACATTAAAATATTATTTCTCTGTTCTTTCACTCACGTGTCAAACTACCAGTTGGTGAGTATCTATAAAACAAAGTACACATTTTATTATCAATAGAATTTGACATTAAAATATTATTTGTCTTTTCATTCACGTGCTAAACTACCAGTTGGTAAGTATTTACAAAACGATGTATACATTTTACTATCAATAGAATTTGAAATTAATTCATACACATATTACCAGGGAGTAAGTATTTATGAAACGAAGTACACATTTTATTATTATTAGAATTTGAATTAAAATATTATTTCTCTGTTCTTTCATTCACGTGTTAAACTACTAGTTGGTAAGTATTTACAAAACGTTGTACACATTTTATTATCAATAGAATTTGAAATTAAATGTTCATTCATACACATATTACCAGAGAGTAAGTATTTATAAAACGTTGTACATTTTATTATCAATAGAATTTGACATTAAAATATTATTTCTCTGTTTTTCACTCACGTGTTAAACACCAGTGCGTAAGTATTTACGTGCACATTTTATTATAGTATTAAATATTATTTTATTCATTCATGCGCATATTACCAGGGTGTAAGTATGGTGAATCTATTTATAAATATATATAATTATTTGGAGATCGTCTAGGACAGTAAGATTTTTTATTTCACGCAAACGGGAAATAACTATTACGTACATATCCATACATTTATGAAATTGATATTTATGTCTTCCATTTTTGATGTTCATGTCTCCTATTAAGCAAATATTGTTGTTAAGTAAACCTTTTTAGTGGTTTTAAGCAAAGTTGTTTCTCATACTTTTCTAATAGTAGTAAAATTCTTAAAAATTTTTGAGTTATTCATACTTAAATTTAACAAATATTAATTAACTTTACTACCCCAGTTTTAATAATTTTGTCACTATTAGAGTCAGAAAAGTATAAGAAACTTTACTTAAGACTACTAAGAGGTTTACTTAATAACAAAATCTATTTTAGAGCATTTTTTGTTTAATGAGAGGTATAAATATCAAAAATGAACTTTAATAAGTATCATATTCATGTATGGTTGGGGCACAGCAAATTTTTGGAGTATCCCCCCTATAGATATATATATCATATATTATATCGTAATTAGCAATAGTAGGTTTTAATTCTGATTGGCCAATTATATAATAGCTCTATAACACATGATAGGGCATGCCCTTTGGTCAAAGGGCAGCGAAGCATTCATTAACCAATAATATTGCGTGTTATTATAGCAAAACTTAGTAAAATGTATAGAAGTTTTAAGGTACTTTAGTGTATCAAAAAAGTAGGTGCAGATGTATCAAAAATGAATGTTTTGCCAAAGGGCATGCCTCTCAACCCCGTGCCCCAACCTTATATTCATGGCGTTTTCATAACAACCAATCTTATCCTGCAAATAGAAAAGATACTTTAAATTTTGCGCGATTTTATTTATACTTCGAAATTTGTACAGTACTGGACAGCATGAAACATCCACTTTATATATATAGAGCACCAATTTTTGATGTTTATAAATCAATTTTGATTGGTTAATTTTTTGTATAGTTGATTGGTTGATGAAACTAGAGTTGGAACCGGTTTTAATAATTCGGGTTTAACAAAATTCACTGGATAAACCCGAATTATAAAACCGGCTCCAACCTCTAGATGAAACATACATATTTTTTTTTATAAACGTCAATTTTTAAATTATTATAAACTTTAATTTATTATACCAAAATATAATAAAAATCTTTTGACAAAAACGTAGTTTAGTCAAAATCTATCAATTTGTCGAAGGGTTTTCTAATATAGTTTGTTTTAAAGAAGTTATAATAATTTAAAGTTTTTATTAATAAAAGATGGATGTCTCATTAGTGCAGGTGGTATAGTGATGATCATGAATCAAATTTTTTTATAATTAGCAGTAGTGTAAAATAGTAAAAGCATATAAAATTTAAATTGCAATAACTCTTGAACAAGCCAACCTACACAAATAAATTATATTTGTCGGGTTAGATTTTGTGTTCTTTAAAGTAACAACATCCTTTTTTTTATTTATGTTTTTTAAAGCCTAACGAAGGACTCAATTTCCATGCAAAAAAAATATCAAAAGCAATATTGAAACTGAAAAATACAAAATAAAAAAAAAGACGGTGTTACTTTCAAAATTAACTCGACAAATATAATTTTATTTTGCAGGTTGACAATTAAAATTGTGTTTTTACTATTTACACTACCGCTAATTATAAAAAAAGTTTGATTAATACTACCTGCACTATGTTTATAATAGGAGAGGGTGAAACCCGCGCGAATTTTACTAATTCACAACGTGGGTTTCGCCTTATCGTATTATAATTAGACTTGCTGTATATTTATACATTGAGTATAGATCACATGATTACAAAATTTACGCCATGATTATGTTACAACTACCCATGAAAGATGCACCAATCAGATCTCTTTAATAATTGCGCCAATAAAAAACTGCCAATGACTCAAAATTTTATCTATAAAATCATCTGCGCATTAATAAAAAAATTTTCCTTGCTCGATTTTAGTCACTATCCTAATCCTAATGTAAGGTTTTATTACTTTAAAGACATCACGCGTATTCGATCAGTGTAAATCATCTGATTCAGTGTTGTCAAAAGAAAACCTGGAATCGGGCTTTCAATTATACTTTGTGTGATAGATTGTCGATAGATG